ACAGAGATGAGTTGGTGTATAGGGCAGCCATAGAGCGACTTCACGGAGGCAACAGAGGTCATGGTCTGCCTATAGATGCCTTTTGTTCTGCCTATGGACGCTGGTCTATAGAACGTCCTAGAAGTGTCCATACATATTTTTGTAAGGATCCCGCCTCGTTTGACGTTGAGTGCAGGTACGCGTTATAGGGCATGTTTGGTGATGAACCCTCAGAGCATGGAGACGAGTCCTGTGGGGAGCTGCTCGGGCTGCGGCACTAGCCGCGTCGTTTCCTGTGTGCCCCATGTATCCAAGTGCCCAAATGACATGCATCCCCAATTTCTTGGCTTTTTTTAGAATGCATAGCACTGGCCGTCCAAGGATACCCTGGGCGTAATTCCTGCAGGCTTTCTGCGAGTCAGCCATCCCCGTGGCTCTGGAGTTGCAGTTGACGGCGAGGGCCAGTGGCGTACCAACCTGTTTTGGAGTAGGGTACAAACCTGACCCCCCCCCCCCCCACACACCCCGGGCCGGGGGGGGGGGGGGGGTTGCCCTTGGTATCTTTTGGGCAACGCCAGCCAGTGTTTGCCAAGCCCAGTGGCGGCTGTTTCAGGGGAGGGGGGGTTGCAAAACATATGCCGTGTATCCCACTCTGAGAACTGGGGGGCAAGTGCCCCCCCTTGCCGCCCCCCCCCTGTACCGTATGTAAGTCTGGACACCATGGGCACCGGCTATATATATAGTCGGTGCCCATGGTGTCCAGACTTACATACGGTACCCCCCCCCCCCCCCCCCCCCCCCCCGGTTAGTACGCTCATGGCGAGGGCAGTGGCCACTTTTTTCCGCTTACTGCACCGAGTCCACCCGCACCGAGGCCACTCTTATCACTTCTCCGGCAGCTTTTGCTACGGCGATCGTGGCCATTCCGTTCGCAGGACCACAGGCGTCCACGTAGAGAGTCCCTTCTCTAGTGAGCGAGTGCCGCAGTCCGCGCTTTCCGCTGTTCCTCTTCCTGCGTCGGGTGCATGTTCCGTGGGATTCGCCCTATTGTAAACTTTTTTTCGTATCTGGTATTCCATCTCCTCTGCCCCCTGTTGGGACCGAGTGGTTGTCCGTGCACTTGGTGTGTGGCAGGGAGCCGAGCCAAGGCAGGATCTCCTCTGAAAGCTGGATTCGCGAAGGGCCAGGGAGCAGGAGGGGTGTCTCCTATAACTCTGTTTACATACATATCGCCAAATTCAACAACTCAAGAAATCTTACGAGAACACTAGATCTAACACTTTCGAGAACACACGCTAGAAACCGCCTGCTGCTCCTTTTATAATGGCACATTTCCCCGATTCCCTTGCAGGGGATCCTTAGGGTTCAGGCCTTCAACGAAACCGTGGGACCATTGTTTCTAACATTCAGGTATGCCCTTCCCCTCTCTCACACACACTGCCACACGCGCCACACACACACGGAAGGGCCAGACATTCTTGGCCGCGGTGTCGCCGGTCAACTTCGACGGACAATGGTGCCATCGAAGTCCGGACGGCGAAAGAGATTCCTAATTGCAGGCGTCCTGGATTCCGTGAGTTAGGGGATAATCCCAATGGACTATCTAAGCTGGGAAAGGTGCGTAAAGCCCCTTCCTTTGTCGAGGGCGTCCCATAGCTGCCGGGTCGCTTTTACGTGGATGCGACTGCAGCGCTTCGGATCCATTTAACGAATCGAATCGGTCCATGTAAACAGCTCGGATTGGATCGGATCCGATCCGATCAGTGGCTACGTTTACAGGGATGCGACAGCAGCGCATCGGATCCAGTTAGCGAATCGGATCCACTTCAACCATTGCGTTTACATGGGTTCGGATCGAAGTAGCGGCACGTCGTGTCGAAGGATCACAACGCAAACCTCGTGACCTTTCGATTGTTTTCGAGGCTTCCGGTTTGCCTAGCGGCATGCAACGCAACGCTCCCGTGATCCCTCACTCGAGCACTCGATTCGATCAGCTAGCGTATACATGCAGTCTCGATTCGGATTAACCATCTCAAACCACCCACTGGCGTGGGTCAACTCGATGATCTTTCGGAGAAGGCCACGTCGTCCCCGTGTACCAAGGGCGCAGCTGGCCGAAGCCACCTAGCGACAGTGCTCCAGGGCGTTTACCCGTGCAGGTCAGATGGAAGGGCAAGGTCGTCTCCTGGGGCCTTTCGCAACACCCCCCCCCCCCCCCCCCCCCGGTCTCTTGGGTGCCTCAGGAACCGCCATTCAAAGCGTATCTGGAAGCCGCCTTCCGTTGTCGGTGGTGACCAGTGTCTTTAACTGCAAGATTCTTTGCGCCTCGTGTAGTTCCTCCTTGCTGTTGTAAACTGCCACTCTGAGCAGCTTGTCCGTGGCCGTCCGTTTCGGCGATCCCAAAGCGTCCTTCTATGCCTTCCTCAGTATTATGTTGAGATCCCCATGTCCGTTTTATTCAGCTTTAAATAGGGCGTACGGTAGGTCAGTCTTGAGACGACGAAGGCCTGTATTAGCTGTAACGTTTCTCTCTCCTTAGTCCCATGTCTCTTGTTTCTTATTCTTCTCATCATTCCGCCTACTTGGTTCGAGT